TAAAAAAAACACCGGAAAAAAAGTAAAATGTAATCTGTTGGATAAGAAGGCTTCACCACCGACACATCTGGAAACAGGTGCAGCTTACATAAAGTCAGAAGTCCTTGGTTGTTTTCCGGTGCAGCCGAATACACATCTGCGCAAAACATCCGATTTCCAGCCAAGTCTTCCAGCCCGTGTCCTCAGGCGGTGAAAATGGACACTTCCCCTGTACCCATGGTTGACAAATTATTTCTTATATTTGTAAATATTTGAAAAATTTGGAACGGTACCATTGTATGAACATTCCAACAGTTTATCTTTTTCCACAAAACAACACGGTAGAATAATGGAAATTATAGAATTATTAAAAATTACACTGGATTGTTTTCACTCAACCTCCGCATATCCTGCCAACTTGTTCTCCGTAGTAACAGTTGGACACATTATGTGAAGTTAGTCACATAGTGTTGTTATTTATCGTCTCGATCTGTTGAATTACTTGCTGAAAAAGACAGAAAGCAAGTGCTGATATGTTTAATCTTCTTATGATAGCAAATCACAGATGACTGATTTTCGACCATCGTCGATTGTAGAATTAACCACAGGACGCATCTCGACTATTAGGGAAACTTCTAGGGATTTGCTTTTAGAATGACTAGTTAAGCAGAAGAATACTTGTAGCTATCAACAACTGTTGTAGATCTGAAGAAATTATATACACAACGAGTATGGTAGGAGATCGAATTTCATGACTTATTTACCAAACAGAAGAACATACATAGTTATTTGCGATTTCAACACCAGTTAGCACACAGGATAATCGCAAGATGATCCGCACATTGTAATATTCCGACTTTTAATCAAACCTCTTCCTGACCGCTGCACAGATCGCATCTGTGGAAAATTCCTTTACAAGGCCATGGTTTATGTCGGGACTACTTACTTGGGGGAGTATTTGTATTGAGCAAAAGGCTGAACACCTAAAATGTTTGCGGTATCACAAATTCTGGTCCTTCATTTTGTCACCAATAAAATGGACACTATTTTATCAGTTAAAAATAGCAGTAAATGAATTCAATGCCCTTTACAGGCGTTGCTAAAAAGGTATTGTGTTGTCGTATGTTTTACTCCGATGACTACCTTAAATAATCTTGACCACCCTCATGCAACAGCCACCACGAGGTATTTTTATTTCTTTCTCTGGCACATACAAATAAAGATCGCAGGTTATTTTGTTTTAGCAGAGTTGCTTCCCGGTAAGTAACACCGGCCATAAACCGTACCCTTGCCAATTATTTTTGATTAACTGAGAGTTCTTCCCGTTGAATGTAGGCATTTAAGTATAATAGACTATAGTTCTTTAAAAAGAAGTTCAAGAATTTGTCACTCACGCTCTTTTTAATATACTTTCACAAACTTGACATATAAAGTAATTTAGTCTTTAATTCGAAGTTCATTATTGTGAGATTTGGGCAGCTGATCGGAAAACTGCTCGTGTAGCCTAATATTCGCGTGTTTTTTTTACTGTTGGCCGCAAAGTATACAGTACAATCTCTACAAACGGTGATATTTTAAGGACACAAAGAGTCCTCCTCATAGGGAAGATAGGAATGAACTTCATTTAGCCTTAAGAACAGAGAGAAATGCAAAAAGTGCTTCAGAGCATACAGAACATAGGGGCCGTTTTCTAAAGCAAAAAAACTTTATTTGGGATAAACGTTAGATGTAATTTCCTTAAAACAGACACAAAGGCACTCGTTTGCAGTTATTACGAGAAATTTATTTGGAAGTAGCCGGAAATACGTTCACCTGGAACCAAGCTCAAGACCGTGAACGAATTATTTGTCTTATGCTCCATACTAAGCATTGCTGAATCGATAGTTCAAAGACTTCATTTGTTGGAAAGCGTATTTGGCAATTTCGTTCAATATTGAACGATTTCCAATGCAGAACCCGGCGAAAGGGCGACTGCGAAGGTAAACGAATATGCTTGAGGACAATACAAGGTGCTGGTCGACTTAGTTCACGACAGGCTACCAAAATTACACTTGGCACTTTGGAACCGCCTGCATAAAGAAGCATCTCAAAGTAGAGTCCTAGCTTTTGTTCAGTAAAAACGCAGTACACACAGAGATTTCGCTATTCTTCGTCACAAAAGGGATATGTACCTTTAGGATATCACTGCCCCGAGTACAGAATCGAATTTGGGACTCAACGACACATGAGAGGACATGACCGCTCGGTGGGACCGGCTTTTTGAGAGCATCCCTGAAATCCTGAATATTGCGTTTGACGCTGGGAGACCGTTTACGATGAGGGGGATCAAGACCTCATCGCATTTTGCGTAATGCATATTCTATGAACTGTTATTTTACCTTGAGTTGCCAGGAGAGTTTGAAGTGAACTGCTTTCGACGTTCATTTCTCGACATAGTCAAGTCGGACTTTAAGGGCTACCAACTGTTGCTTCAATTGCGGCTTCCGGATCATAATATTGCAGGCAAGAGGACCTCAAAGACACCATAAGACCCAGACAAACAACAAAATAGAGAGTAAGAAGGCTGTCACCACAGCAACCAAGTTCATTAAATAGTGTATAACACTCTGTGGCATCTACCTCTGTGTTTAAAAACTTCGCCAATCGACACATTTCCTTCCGGGATCACCAATTCCGTTCAGTACTCATGTGTTCGGAGGACTGACTTGAGGACATGGAACACCCGTCCGAGCCTTTGAAAACATTTCTGGAGCACCATACAATAATTCCGGGAATTTTTCAGAAAGGGCGGACATGCTTAAGAAAGGCTTTTCAGTGTTCGGATATACAGTAACCCAGCAGTTCTGTCCACAGCATGTTCAAACCAGAAATCCTTTACCGCTCCAGTGTCCCTGCCATTGTCAATAGAACTCCCCCACTATGCACGTATATTGACAGAGCAACATCACCGACAAGGACAGGGGAGGCTGGAACGGCTGTTTCTGAATTATTAGCCGTCGTCAGCCAGTCATACCTGACCCCGAGATGTAGAACGCCTGGGGCTCGATCCCGCGACCTGTCGGTTAGAAGTCCAATGCACCTAACCACTGGGCGACGGCACTGGGTTCCAAGGCACAATGGGACGAGTGAGTTCCATAACATTATCGGTAAGCGCCCTTCTACCACATATGAATTTGTTTCCGCCTATTCCTGAATGAACAAATGCCTGATCTACAACGACAAGAAATGGCAGGCAGCAAGGCACTGATGGACTTCAGTTTAATGAAGTGAACCCCAGTAGTGGGCCAGTCGTCCCAGGTACGTGTGCGCATGGTTGTGTTAGCGGTCCCACCTGGTGGTCAGGGTTGTGATTAGATTAATGAACGCAAACGAGTCCGAAACGGTAATGTATCAATCTACCCACTAGACTCTGTTTTCTCCCTTCCGGCATACATATACATGAATAGGAACCTATATATATATATATATATATATATATATATATATATATATATATGCATAACGTTATTACCGAACGCAACGAGTGAGTTCCGTAAGAACGATCGATGAGCGCCCCTCTACCATTATATATATAGAAGGGTGTAGGAGGTGTCAAGTTAGGGGTGATATGTCGCTGCAGGTGCCTTATGCCTGCGGTATTTTCTCCACAGGGCCCATTAATGTCACCCAGCGCTTATCTACGGCTCTCCCCGGAAATCGTCTCAATCAGGTGGGGCTAAATGACATGAGGGCAGCCTCTACGTGGGCGGGCCTTTTATTTGTTTAGTAGTTCTATTTTCTACCCTATTCACCCCAGAACTAAAACGTTCAACAAAGTAAGCGACATGAAATCCCATAGGCGGCCCTGGATTACTCAGTTCGCTCTTTCACTAAACAAGGCTATGACCCCTAGTGGAATTTGGCAACCGCTTTAGATGACTAAGTAACCCTATTCACTGGTAGCACTGGTTGTCCCGTCACAAGGGCAGGGCTTATAAAAGGTCCTCTAAACAATTCGTGGACAATCAGGTCGTCTGAAAACTGGTCGTGACTCTCAGACGCAAAACCCGCGGTAGAAATATATTACAAACACAAACTTTCCATTCTATTCCCCGTCCCACCACACAGGCTGCTTAAGTGACTCCGATCACTGTGATAGCATGGGACGTTCGCTCTCTTTTATACAACTCGCTGAGTGATCTGCCTGAGAGGAAGGCAGCGATGATTGCTCGAGAACTAACACGCTCCGAAGGTCGATCGCGGGAGGTGAATGTTGACTGCACCTTCTGAGATAAACACCCAAAGGCAGACCGGCGTAACGCTAGTGTTCCCTTTGCTATCTGGAGCAACACCGTGTGACTGCCCTGTCTGTCAGACGACATCAACGAGCGTCTCATGACGTTGCGTCGGACTATACGGGGAACTAAATTCACCACTGATGTCAGCGTCTACGCTTCCCAAATGATCATTTCCGAAGAGGTGGGGAAAAGGTTCAACGAAGATTTGCATGCCTCCTATGGACTATGCCGGAGGCGGGCAAAGGGACCGCCTTTTGTGACTTCAGTGCACGCATCAGTGTACGCCGTGCTGCCTGAGAGTCAGTGCTGTGTCCTCAGGGAGTCGGCGTCTGTAGCAACACTGACCTCCTCCTCCTCCTCCTCCTCCTCCTCCTCCTCCTCCTCCTCCTCCTACTAACTCGCCTTCCGATCCAGGAGGAGGCGACGTGGATGTAGCCTCGTTCCCGTTACGGACGCTTGCTGGAATACGTCCTCGTTTGGGGGCATGACGACCGTGACGTGCTCGTGACTGAGCCGATGTCTGATGCCGACTGGTATTTCCTGGAAAAGACTGCGAATCCAACCCTGCAGGCTACCACAAGGTAAGCGACCACCTGTTGAATGTGCTTGATCCCGACATGGATTTCAACAATCAGCTGATCACTGCCTGGAAAAACCGTAGACTCTGGAAGACTACATCTTTGTGGTGATGTTATAGTGCCAACTGCGAAATGCCATCCAAATCACTGCTATGGGTGCACTTCGTTCTGCACACCACCAATATCAGGATTGGTTCGACGACAACGACGGAGAAATATACGATATGCTCTCTAAGAAGAACAGGCTGCACGCAGTCTACATTAACCGTCGGACCAACGCAAACAAAGCAGCCTTCTTCCGTTGTCTACGCCTGGTGCAACGATGACTGTGAGAGATGCCAAGTGTTAGGGTAGATTGCAAGGCTAAAGAGATATAAGGCTACGTGGACCGCAACGGAGTGAGGTATTTCTTTGACTCAATCAAGACGGCTTATGACCCCCGAACCGAGGAAACTGAGCTGCTGCTCTGCTCTGACGGAACAAAGTTCCTCATTGAGAAATAATCGACTCTGAAGCGCTGGGCCGAGCACTACAGAAGCGTCCACAATCGGTCATCAACCATTTCCGACGATGCCATCAACAGACTCCTGAAAGTGAGATTCAACGCCAACCCCGAGTGTCGCCCTCTCTGCAAGAGCCCACCAAAGCTGTAAACATGTTGTCAACCGGCAAGGCACCACGGGCCGACGTAATCCCGGCCGAAGTCTGAAAGGACAGCGGTTCTCGGATGATGGGAAAACTGAGTTCACTTATCCAGAAAGTGTGGCAACAAGGACAAGCCCCTCAGTACTTCAAAGTAGCGACGCTTGTTCACATAAATAAGCTCAAAGGAAACCGACAACTCTATGAAAATCGCAGAGGCATCTTACTATTCAGCATCGCAGGAGAGGTCTTCGCTTGTGTCCCCCTCGAACTCTGCGACACGCAAGTTGTGTAGATACTTCCCTCAGCAAGCCAGTGTGAGTTTCGCTGGAGCCGCGGAACCACCGACATGATCGTTGTCGCACGCCAACTGCAGTAGAAATGTCAATATATCCGGATCAACCTCTACACTACCTTCGCCAGTTTAACAATGATCTTCGACAGAGTCAGCCGCGGTGGCCTCTGGAAAACGTTGCAAAAATATGGATATCCGGGGAACTTTGCACAAATGGGGCGTCCAGTTCACGATAGGATGATGACTCACCTCACGGACGACGGGGTACTATATGAAGCGTTTGCGGCAACCAATGGGGTGAAGCACGCCTGCGTCCTCGTTCCCACCCCATCAGGTATCTTATTCTCCTTTATGCTGATAAACTTCTATCGTCCAGAGTGGTCAGGGATCGGCATCATCTCTCGAACCGACGGAAAACTATTCAACATCCGTCGTCTGAGTCCTCGACTTATGGTTCACGGATGACTGCATGCTAAGGATCACCACTGAAGAGGACATGCAACAGAGTGTGGATCCCTTTGCTTCCGGCTGTTCCAACTTTGTACTGACAATGAGCACGGGGAAAGAGTGGTCATGCAGTAGCTAGCGCCAAATGTGGATTATGATGAATCCCATATCTACGTCAATGGAGCTCAGCTTGTGGTAGCAAACACAAGAGTTCGACCGCCGTGCCCGGCGATGTCGACCGTGTGCCCCACAGCACAGAAATGCCAAGATTAATGATGAAGTCACCAATCAGATCTCCAAAGCCAGCCAGGTCTTCGACCGGCTGCAGGACTCAGTGTGGAATTGTAGTGGACTCCCACTCATCACAAAACTGGTGTACAGGTTGGAGACATGAACTGTTTACGATAACTGAGCTAGGAAATTAAACCATTTCCACCCTGGCCGCCACCGAAAAATACTGAAGCTGAGGTGAGCAGGTAGAATAGCAGACACGGGTGTCCTAGAAAGAACCGGAATCCACAACATCCACGCCATACTGAGGCAAATTCAATTACGATGGAGTTGCCATGTCGTAAACATGGACAAGAGAGCCTACCAACCGGCTATCCAAAGCCTTCTTTTTGGTTTTTTTAAGAAATCACAAATTGTGATTAGCATCATCTTGGCCTGCTATGATTGTTCCATTCTCTTTCAATGCATAAGGGCATTTTGGGATGGAAAGTATCGGGAAATTCACTTTACCCGTGCAGTACAGCGACGAGATTTTGCTCTTTCCGACCTTTCTAGTCGAAAGCTTTTGTAACAAAAAGTGGTCACTTTCACAAGCCGTGCATCAGCAATAAACGAGTTTTTTCTTGACCAATAGGCACGAAAAGTGAATTTCGGTTTGGTGAGACGGTAAACGTGACCACGAATGCTGGTACCGCGGGGCGGAGCCTAGTGGGGTACAGTAATTTATGTTACTTATCTCACCAACATGTTTAAATTCCCCTATGAATGCGGGGATTTTCTCACTCTTTGCGAAGCTCAGAATTCGTCCTGGTAGGAAGCACTTCGGTTTGGTCCAAATGGTTATTTCCAGTAAAGAATCAAAGTGCTGAAATTCGACAAAGTCTTGAGTAGTATCCAAATGTTCCTAAGATTCCCGTTGGTTCAAAAAATCTCCAACAATTTCTAACCGCAGACGTTAAGCTTGGTGTTCAACGAAAAACCTCAGTTTTTCAAAACTTTGGGGCTGAAGTAGCACTAGCCAACGGCGACTGATAAACAATAAGTGGAAATTTCCATCTCCATTGCCTTTTTTCAATAGTACTTTTGCGTTTTCGACCACGCGTCATCGTCTAACTACTGGCGAGGGCTATAGACTAGAGCCCCAAATCAAAACGACACGGCCATATTTTGCCAACAAGCAGGCCATATTGTTGGCCCGTTTTATCCGCCCTAACTAGTCCTCTGTGCTGTTTTAAGCCACAGTATGCGTCATGCCACAAGCTTCCTCAGTCTAGAGTTCAGGAATGTAAACGATGAGCTTTACCTCAGGGTGTGTCAGCAGGATGTGAGGCGATTCTAGTTTACATGTCCATCCTGTGCACTTGAAATTATCTTGGCTCTTTATTCGTAGTTATTCTCTACTGTTGCGGGTTCCTTTTAACGGCTTAATACTCTGTTGTGCTCCCAAGTGTATGTTTTAGTATTATTAAGATTAACTGACCATCGGGTGGTTTTCGCCCCATGAACTCGTACATACGCTTCTTCTTCTTCTTCTTCTTCTTCTTCTTCTTCTTCTTCTTCTTCTTCTTCTTCTTCTTCTTCTTCTTCTTCTTCTTCTTCTTCTTCTTCTTCTTCTTCTTCTTCTTCTTCTTCTTCTTCTTCTTCTTCTTCTTCTTCTGCTTGTCCCCTCCCACAACCTCCCACAAAGAACGTGCAAACTTACGAGCTTTTAGTTCACGAGAGACCTAGTACATTTTCATTTTTTACCGCAACTTGGAGTAAAGCCCTGATTCATATTCAAGGGAAGGGATGGGGCGGGGAAGGAAGAATGAGCCAAAAAATGAACGATTTTCACTCCTTGTTTCCTTGTCCTCATTAGCCAAAGTTAAAATATTTGTTTTGTAATCGTGCAACTGCTCATAGACAACGAGCTGTTGTGCTTGCGGAGGAGTTAGGAGCTGACATGGGTGTACTCAATTCCTCTCACGGTCGGCACATTACACACGTGTGTTTGGAACTCCGCAAATCTTCGTCATGTCTGTTCACGCCATTAAACTTTGCTAGTAAGTCAAACGTCCTACACTACTAACCCCACCCCGCCGGGCAGAATGCATGTGTTTTATGGACTGGTGGTTGCCTGAGGACGATGCTATGTGCCAAGACTGACAGCTCGTAAAAGACCATCGATGTCGACCTTTGAAAAACTCACAGCGTCTAAGACACCTGATAATGAAGAGGGGAGAAAAGGTAGATAAAAAATGAATGGAAGCAGATTGCTCAGACTAGGTGCCAACTGGCGACAAATATATGTACAGTTAACGGACCCTTGCGCATGCAATGGTCACAAGGCCATCAAAGTTTTGAAGGTTTGAAAAAGACGTGGCTCACTACGGTTTGGGGGCCTAACAATTTCACATCTAGACCTCGCGTACCTTGCTCCGCCTGCCCATTCAAATCAGTGTTTTCCGTTGTTATGAATATCGCATAGTCATATGTTGATGGCCGAGTGGACGGCGCGAACAGACAATGGGAGGTAGAGGTGAGGAGTTGTGGATGAGGGAGACGCGGGAATGAATCATGATAGAGGCTGATGACTGAGGACATCTGGGACATCAACTACCACTGCAATGCGTCCGACTAGAAAGTTTTTACCAAGATCAATTAAACAGCTTACTTCTTTTCAACTTTTTTTATGCAAATATAGTGTTGAATCTGGAACTGTCTTCCCTCTTCTAGATTTCCGCCATGGTGACTCTTATTCCTCACTGACTAGTAACTTTGTACCTTTTGCTCTAAAGTATGCCTGCTTCGTTTAACTAACGTCATGATAACCATGCTCTCCCATAAAAAGCAAGTTAAGAAGGGGAGATACAGTGTTCAATTAAGCGTTTCCATTGTTTTTTTTAGACTTAGTCATTTTAAACAAATGATGAGGAAGATATAGAAAGGCGCATATTCTTGGAACTCAACGATAATTAAATTCACCAAATTTGTACCTTATTGCAATCAACTGTAAGTTTAACTGCGGTGTAGCTTATCAAACTGGAATACCACGATTTTTCGCAGATATTTTGCTACACTGAAATGTGTCCAAACTTTCTGTGGTAGATGCAGCACCGTGACTCTACTCCCCATCGAGCCCTGTCGACTGTTCATAACTGTGTGCTTTTGGTTCCACATGAGAGGGTGCTGAGAGTGAGCCTGGACGGTGGATTTATGTCGACCTGGAATGCATTGGAACTTAAATACGAAATCCTGGTCAGCGAGACACCCATCTAGAAAATGGAGGTGTCTCAACTACTCTAATGAAGCAGTCAACCGTTTTCGTTTTCGTTTAAAGGTGACTTGAGACCAAAATGCGTGGTTTTTGAGTTACTCGTCCTTTTTTTCATTTAGATGCATATCTGAAAGCAGACTTCTATATGATTATGTAACGGTGGGATCAGTTCCTTTCACATAGTTTTTCGATGTCTCGCAGAGCCCAACGTATCTTAGCTTATATGCCGAACTTCGGGATTAATCCTCGCCTATAATAGCCCTGCCGCAAAACCAGAAATGCCACCGTCCTCATTTGGTCTCTGACTAACTCATATTCTGAATTTTCTGTAATCCTTCACCTGCCAACTGGACTGCTTTTTCGTCGACGCATGTGGGCTGAAAACTGTTATCCATGGGAATGATGGAAATTCCGTCTGAGCTTTGTTGGCTTCCTCGGCGGTCAGGTTTGCTCAAACGTGTCTCGATTTTCCTGGCTGGTTTGGCGAGTAGTCTGACGCTTAGTTAGCTTAACACGCATTTCATATAACTTTCACAGATAATGTACTTCAGTTACTTGAGGGAAATAGTTGGCTTGGGTCTTCGAACGCCGTACATGAAAATTAAATGCGTTGCAAGAAAACGGCACATATTCAGTGCAAACTTGATTAAGGAATTCAAGGCATAGTTTGGTCGTTTGATGCTGCGTTTGACTGGTAGCATGATACACCGTAATTGACAGCACATGTGCCAGCTAAAAGCCCAGACAAATGTTTCGCCGAGATTCTGCTGCTGCATGATACAGCTGCGAAAAGTTCGGCTCATCAGTGGGTCCCCCAGCTTTCCTCTGTGCTTTTCTGGTATATATTCCAATTCGTAAATTGATAAGCTTCATTTTGGAATCTGCATTTTGTTGTCCTTTGGGCGTTTTTATATGCACCGACTGGGTTTTATGTGTGCAGCGGTCATACAAATTTTTACAGAAATTTATTCCCAGTGATGGGAGAAGAGAGGAAAATGAAATTATGAATATCAGGAGTACTGTTCGTGGAGCAATTGGACTCGCGTTAATTAGCACTTAGCGCGTTAATTACCACCACCACCACCACCACCACCACCACCACCACCATCATCATCATCATCATCATCCTCATCACCACTACCACCAGAGCAGAGCAGACAGATTGCTCGCAGCGCCACAAAGATTGAAGGAACATCTTATTTATAAGTTATTCTTAACAAGATAGAGGAGTTACTTCCAAGTCGGATGACAGCAAAAGCGACAGGCGACATCTGGATGTTTACAGTTTATTAATAGAATCACCTTTTATGTTATACTCTGCAAGTTAACGCTTCCTTAGCATTTTGACAATGCCGAGTTCTGAAAGACTTCTGCACAGCAGAGCAGAAAACACCAAGTTTTACTAGTGGCTAGGAGGAGAGGCAGCCAAAGGTTAATCATTTCGGTCTTCTTTTCTTGCTGACGTGTCGTAATATGTACGCACCGGTAGACGGTTCGAAAAGTAAGTAGCAGTGGTATGCGCGCAGACCGGTATCGCTAAATTGCGAGAGGAAATTGAGGACTGATTGGGCTTATGTGCTGGTACTTTAGTGCAATCTAACCTTGGAATGCCAGTAGAAAGTTGTGAAATTACACCAGAGGTCAAGAGAGAATAATAGTCAAAAAGTAGTCAGTATTTATGGGAGGTTTTAATTGTTGTATAAGTAAACGACTTCATTACTAATCTAAAGGAGTAGTTTAATCCGTCTGGCCTTAATGTATAGGTGGGAACACGTTGACTGTTAATTTAGGTATTTCCCGATCACCCAGAGTGATCACCTTCAGTGGAATAGCTATTCACCCATCGCACATTTTTTGTTTTTGCATTCCTATACTTGCCCAGCACTTGACGTTTCATATCTGGCATTTAAAAACGAACATCATTAATTTCTTGTTGGTACATTCTATTAAAATCAGCAGGGAAAATGGTGTAGCATGTGAGTTAAAAATCCATAAACATATTTACAGTTCTTGCATTTCTGATTATAACTCAGAGAATTTTTGTGACTCATCGGCATATTTGTAATCTATCGCGTACAGTCCTCTATAACGTACAATGACAAACAACAAGAAGTATGCAAATCTTTCTCCGTTTTTCACATTGCATCCTATAGTTGAAACTAAGGATACTGGAAACGCTTGGGGTCGTGAATGAGGAAGTGGAGGAGGATACGTCGTTGCGGCAGGCGAAAAAGCCCTCTGTTTCCTTTCCGGTATTTTGGAAAGGATCATATCCTTCTCATTGAAATTGTTCTGATTATTTCCCCTTTTCCTGCGGAAGAACAGCTCGCCCAGTTCGTCATTAGTTTCTCGCTGGTTCCGTTTAGGCGTTGTTGCTACAAGTCAGGACGCCGGTTTGTCATCGGGACTGACAGGCATTTGCCTAAGATGTCTGCAATGTTTAATGTTTCCGTTACCAGGCCGTTTGATGACTTGCAAACTCTAACGCTTTGCTTTGTCGATTTACATCATGGCAGCAGGTTGTAAGAGAAGATATCGAGTGCAGCACCCCTGCGCATACATGCACTAATTTTGAAATCACTTATGTCACCCCTTCAGTGGACTTTCACTTATGCCACTTCATTTAGAGCCGTTTACTACGAGAATACTCATAGAGGTCGGGCCATCTTCCGTACCATAGGCAGAAGATAATTGGTGTGAATTTTTCGGAGATCATGATATCCTAGAGCTCTCGACTGAATCCAACAACAGTCTGGCAACCCACGAGAAGAGTGTCATCAAGAAAAACAGTCTGCAGGTATGCGATCGAGACCAATGCCAATCTTCCCTCGGCCTAATTACTACATCCTATACCAGGCGCGGAACCGCTGATGACTTCTACGTGGCTAAGGGAGTCAGTGGCAAGAAGAAGTTTGGTCATCAGCCCCTTAACTCAAACTGGAAAGCCTGATAACTAACATGGCTGTGAAATCTGGAGCCAACCCTTCCACATAGATTCGGTCTCCGGTTTTTACCTGAAGTGTTCAATACAAGATATGGGTTTTTTTCTTTTGCGAATCTCGTTTCATTCAGGACATGATGTCAGTGATTAAGTTCCCTCTCTATCGAAGCTTCGAGGCTTGAGCTTGATTCAGAAGCGTCAGATACACATAAAAAACCTATGTGCTTGGCCTTTTAAAAGAGAGACAGTTTGCACTAGAACAGTATGTCTCTCTCGACCCGAATGCTACACTACTTCCGTTAGTAATATTATCCGACGAAGACCTCCGCAGTGGCAGTAAACAACTATGACACATCATGGGACTGTTTGTCCTTACAGTTCCACGAAGCATTGCAGGACCTCCAGTCTGACTACCGAGTTGCAATACTGATCTTCTCCGTGCCGTACAACGGTGATAACTCATCCTGCCAGGTCGGGCATGCAACTCTCACAAGCGTCTAAAATGCGCCGTACGCTAAAACACAGTTTAGCTAACCTGTCGGACCGATGCAGTGGATAGTGGTCGCTGCCGATTGCGCGTAACTTCTTGGAGTTACGGATCAAGGCTGGTATGCAATGTGGTCTCTATGGACGGCTGAGCTGCCAAAGAGGGGTCACATTAGGCTCCTCGTGGATGTCTAAACATCCTGTCGAACAACGGGGAAGAATATTAAGTATACAAGAATTACTCTTCGGTGTAGTTTCATCTTAGATTTTGGAGAAATGTGCAAAATCAATACCGCCACTCACTTTTGCTGGTATTAACTTTAGATCCTTCTACCTACTCCCGTCGGTCGTTGGCAGGTGGCGTTAATTTAACTAATTCAGCTAGTTTTAAACAAGTATCTCTGAGACAATGAAATCCATTTAGCAATTGAGACCAACGCAAAAAAGTTTCTAATTCGTATTACGGACTCTTAGCTCCTAATTTTTGACTTTGATAAACATCCATCCATTCAAACGTCTAAGTCCTGTCAACAACATCCTTGCCTTGTATAAGGTATGAAAGAAATACTTCAACTAAAAAACGATTGTCAGGACTATTCAGACCCTAATAAATAAATTGAATTCTACTTTACCTTACATGCGCGAAGGAAAAATTTTCGCGACAAATCCTGTGTGTTAATATATTTTCTGTTTCCTCTACTCTTTTTGCACTTCAGTGTCATCTACTCATCCAGTTGGAATACCTTACAAAGACACTGAAATTAATGCACAATCACGGGGCCAAACGTGCACTTCTAAACCATGAGCAGCGACACGAAACACTCCGTCGGACGATTAGTTGCATCCCTGATGTTGGCGCACAGACCAACTCAACGTGTTTCGCAGAGTTGATCAAAAGTTATGAAGGGACTGTGGAGGAACGGGCAAATTACCATCCTGCATACTGACAAAGGACGATTAACGGTCGTTATGATCCGAGGTCGATACAATAAAAAAAGTCAACGCACTACTTGATGACAGACAATTGTACAGGCCGGCATAGAACTCGCAAGTCAAAGCACCATCAGGTCGGTTGAGTTAATTACTCAAAAATTTAAGCGCCAAAATGTGATCTCGAAGGATGTATGGTGCCAAATGAAACCAACGGACTCTGCTCTGACCCGATTCTGTGGTCTTCCAAAGATCCACAAACCAAACATGCCGCTGCAGTCAATCGTTGGCCTAAAAGTCAACTCCAACTATTATTTGTCAACTTGAATGTTCTCAAAACTGACATTCCTCAAGGACGAATCGACTCTCTCAGTCCGATCAGCCTCCAAATTCCTTGTAGACCTCTAAGGTCAGAGGATTCAATCAGACGAATTCACGGTCTCTTTCAACGTGACGTCGTCATTTACATCTTCCCCGCCAAATTCACTGCATAAAGTTTTTACGCGAAAAACAATAGAAGGCATGCGATGAAACTCCGAACCCACGCAAAACTGAGTACTTCATGCGGCTGTTCAAATTTTGCCAGAAAACGGTCTTCACCTTTGCAAGGGAACTCCAATGGGCTTTCCAATCGCCGTTTTGATGACAGACTTGGTCCTACGAGAATTATAAAATACTGCCTAGCAGATCTTCTGGCCCCGTTACGATGACGATACGTTTGTTATCACCAGGAAGAACATGCAGCAGAATTTTCATATTTTGTTCAATTCAGTCTTCCCGGATTTACAATTTACCGGGGAGGAAGAAAGGTAGCAGTAAATAGCTTTCGTTTATATGCTCGACAAGCGAAATTCCAGCGGCGAACTACGGACGACAGTTTGCTTCTCAGTTTTCACAGCAACCATCCGGTGTCTCCCAGATGAAGCTAGGTGAGGATTCCCCTCAGACGGGCCCAGACTCACTGCTGAAACCCGGAAGAAAAAGCAAGCGTGTCTGATACCTCCGCTACCGATTTGTACAGGATGACAACCCAAAGGCGTTTATGAGCCGATGGCTACATGTTCGCTCCCGGAGGACCCATCCGGAAACGCCACCGATGACAGGCATGCTCTGCCATAAATAAGGGATGTTTCATAAGCGACTGAGCGTATTGCTGCAAGGCTAAGTGTTGGAATGGCTTACCGACACAAAGGTGCCATGCGCAGCAAGGTCATGAACATAAAAAATCGATTAAATTTGAGGGAACAGTCACGCGCGGTGTATCGTATCGCGTGTCCAAACTCTTCTTGTAATTACACAGGTCGGACTGAACTCATGCTTGGATCGCGCATAAGCGAACATTAGCTGGCTGTGAGAGGAAGTGGTGAACTATCGCAAAGGCCTGCCCACATTTTCGAAACGGGTTACGAGTTTATCTTCTGAGCCACCAAGACAATCGGCTATGCCGGGAATAAGACGGGCCGCGAACTGATTAGAGCTTGGATCTCCAATTCGAACTCAGTCAATCGATGTATCGATTTGGCGCCGACATAAAGAACCCTGCGCAGCCACCTCCAAGTCTACGTCTTTGATGGTTGATTGACAACCACCTCATATAATTGTCGCCTGTACGGTTGCTGCTCTCATCTCTGACGATGGAATCCTGCACGAGTCTGAGATCTCGGACAACTTAATACGGCTCTGGTGCTCAATCAGATAGTTACAAATTGGAACGTTCATCTTTATTCGAGTAATCATAAGCCTCCACTTGTGACTAGGTGGCCAATAAGGGTCCGACCTAAGCAAAAATCTCTAATTAAAGTCCTCTTTTGCTGTTGCTAGCATCCTTATGGTTATTATGCGCGGACGATGTGTTTCGACTTGAGGAAAAAGTTCTTACTTTGTGATCCCCTAGTGTGTATAAGTACTGAGGCCTTAAACTTACAACTTCTCTGCTCTTTTACTATATAACTCTCTCTTAAATGGGTAACTATAAAAAGCTCAATAGGCTGTGGATGTGCTAGTGAGCGTGTGCTAATTATGAACATAGCGCTTAAACCAGGTGGGCTCCGGACGAATAGGATGAGCTGGAACGACACTAAAACGGAGAAAAATGAAGCGAACTGGACAATAAGCGAGGTCGCCAACGTTGCTAACTGCGCTAACTTCTTTCTATGAAAGGCTGTTAACGAGCACAATGTGAACTCACGAGTCCTCAGAGTACTCCTCTTCCCACTGAGATTGCACAGAAGACGATACATGGCCGTAGATAAGTAGGGCTCCTGAAACCCCATGCACGTGTTTTTAAATGGAAATATTCTCGTGATAGGCTTATTGCTGAAATCAATGGAAGTCCTAAAGGTCAATTGTCTCCGTTGTTGCCAGAAATAACACACTAATAATTCAGCACAAAACCCACTCTTGCACACAATATGGCATGCACAGATGCATTTTCTAAATAAAACGAATTATTTTATCAACAATGGAAACAAGTGACTTTTAAAACACTCTTAAAAGGTCACTAGGATATGGCGGTTTTCTGTATCTCTATTTGATCTGCAGGCTAGCAGTGTACTCGTCCGAAACTTGTAAGACAATGCTTGAAAGCTTTTTCCCTATGTAACGTGTTCACGGAAGTTGTTTATTTCGCTGACGGTTTTTCCCATGTAGGCTGACCTGAAAAAGGTAAAAACAACAATTTTCACCTGGACGCTAGTTGAGCGGTGGCATCAAGGAAAAACAGAAATGCTGAGGTCCCAGTCTAGTCACTCTGGGGACCAAGAGGTCTTAATGAGGAGAGGGCAGTACCGAAGAAAAGAAACTTCCACTATACGTGTCTCATACAAGTGCATTCTTGATCGGTGTCAAAGTGTTTGTCAAGACTCCTCGCGTTTAAAAGTGTTTCGCTATTATATTTCTTCTGCGAAAGCTCATGTTCTTAACTTTTTGAATAACCCGATTCGTTTATCCCTGCAGTTCCCCTAACCGTTTTCTGTGTAAAGCGAAAAACGTTTTTTGCTTACTGTGGGACCTTCTTACTCATGTGCTTAACACTAAAACCTTATCCATTAAACTGAATGGAATATAGTGTGTACCGAGCACCTCACACGGTAACCGTTCCATTTCTTATTTAGGCATTAAGTATAAGCTGCGCAAAGCACAATTTTCAAAAATATATGGCTTTGAGTTTTGCGAAGACATGCAGGGCTATTTTAAAATTGTTTCTAGAATACATGCTCACGGTCAGAAATTGGAGGGGGGGGGGGAGGGTGTGGTGAGAAACTGTCCCGACAATATCTTTCTGGAAAACAAAACTGCTCATTTTTAAGTGAGAGGGCAGTGCTTCTTTCACCAAGAACTTCAGTTATTAATACCTTATTAAACTTGATTTACGAGGACTGAACGAAGTACAGAAAGGTCACTTGAATGAATGTGTACCATTTAGATTACAGAAAAGCGCGCTTTAACATTCACCTTCGGTGTCCGTGTCATTTGTAAAAAATCATCTGGACGCAAATGCATGCCTATTACCGCGCAAAATATCCTGTTTTCCGTCATTAAATCACATTGTAAACATATTTTATATG